AAAAAAAAAAAAGGTTATCTGAAAACTACATGCATTGAAAATGATGCTAAAGGGGACCAAGTGCATTTAAATGTGACACCTGTCAAAGTATGTGATGAGTTGGCAGTGACACACCGACTTGTAGGGGAACCAACGGTGGCTCTCACAACAACGTAAAAGTTTCTCTCTACAGACGGTGTTTGGTTTGTTGGATCTGTGAAATATGAGGAAGAGAACTTGCTCCCTATGTAGATATGAAAGGTTCATTCTAAAGCAATGGACACAATGATTTTCAAATTACACACTAATGAGTGATGATGTTACTATATTTCTTTCTGTCTACCTAAAACCTACACACTGTTCCTTTAATGTGAAAACCAGCATAAGTGTGTCCACATCAGTCATTTTGTGTTTATATTGGTTTTCCTTCAGGCTCCTTCCAATGGGAACCAATTCTTGGAGGCATCATTGGATTCATCTTACTCATCTGCTTGATTATCTTTGCTTGGTAAGAATCACAGATCAAAGCAGCAACCATGACACAGCTACTTTCACTGACATTATAGCTGCACATCCACTAACATTTGTGTCTACATCATTTCCAGCCATGTCCAGTCTCTTTCCACACAGTATAGTTCATCTAACAGCATCTCATGTCTTCTAGGTGGTTAAAATCAAGGCATCAAACTCAGCAGCAGGTGAGGAAAACATTACATTTCCCTGTAATCTGACTCACTGAACTTCCAGCTCAAAAACGTTTGATTTGATTCATTTTCACAGAGTCAGACTGGTGAAGAGTCGGTTTTCGAAGAGCCGGAAAGAAAAGTAGAGGAAGATGAAGAAGATAAGGAAGAAGAAAACATCCATTATGGAGAGATAAACTTCAAGCAGAATCGTGAACCTTCCCCTGACTCAGTGCGGGACATCCAGCAGCAGCAGGACACAGTGTACGCGGAGGTCAACAAAGTCAACAAGTCGGCAAACAACCAAACACGGACAGACGATGCACCAGAGGAACTCTAAACTCAAATGAAGAAAAAATGAGGCTTGTGTTATTTATGGAAAGATGCAAATTACATTTGTGTAAGTCACAGTTTTGTGAAGAGAAACTGAGGCCTTAAACATCCTGCAGCTTTTCATTTTCAGCTATGTTCATGTTTGTGTGCTGGTAGGTGTTATTGTGAGATTTGCTAATTATATTTCCAGTGTGTAGAAATAAATGTCCCAAAGGCAACATTTCTGCAGCTGTATTAATTGTGTAAAGGGTAATATTTTATCTGTGTTATTTTGTTTTAGATTTTTTCATACATGACACTGTAAATAGTAATTTTGTTTATCTATTATCTTCATCCATTCTTTCCATTAAAAAGCTGTTGGGAGAAAACTGTGTGCCTTATTGTTTCCATTATTATACTTCCTAAGTGATGTTTTTCATTCCCACCTTTATACTTCAAGTCAATCCAGTATTTGATAATCTATTAGTGTGCACCTTATGTTGTATTGCACAGTTGTGTCCTGTGTGACACATTTTATCTACATAGATATGTTTTGTCGTTTGGGGCATTTGCTAGCAAAAGAGGAAAAATAAACGAATCACTGAAAAACTTCAACAATCAATCACGTTGCCAGCTGATAGTCCACCATGTGCTTCTTAGATGCTAACTTTAGCCAAAAATGTCCACCCTGTCACCAAGCCCTACATGACAAGGTAGACATGACAACGAAATCTACCCAGGCATTACCATGGATGTAGAAGGGCACAGTGTCAAACTCAAGTGTATGCACCAAAATGGTGTTAACAGGATCTTTTGGCCCAGTCCATGGGAGGACATTAGTTGGTACCATGATGGGCAGATACTCTGCCTGATACCAGAAGCACAAACACTGAACAGGAGTTCTCGACAGATTGAGCCATCTATTTGGAACTATGTGGAAGAGCATTTACAGTGATGTAGAAGACTGATTCAAATCCAAGCAAGGAAATATGTAAATGCCTTAAACCTGAAGGGAGTGACTCCACTGGTCTGTCTGGATAGACGACCATGAGAAAGTTAGTTCACTTGTCACTTGATTTTCCTAATGAGATTTGTGGTCTTGATCATTAATTCAAGTCTTTGCTTGATGCTCATTGTTAATTTTGGTTTGAGTAAAATTAAACATGAAGCAGTATGTGATTTAGGACATTGTTTCATTTATGAGTGACCAGTCATTAGTGTTCTGCTGTTGGGAGCTCTGTCGATTCTGTTTTTGGCAATGTTTTGATGATTTTAGCAGTGATGCCAAAAGCTTACGAATGTTCATAATTTATTTATTTATTTTTAACATTCACCTTTGTTTAGATAACTGTCAGCAAATCTACTAATGTCAACAGTTAACACATTTTTGTCTACTCTGTGATGTCATTGTCCACCCTATCATTTTTCTGCTTAATGAAAGTGAACATGTTGTCTACATGAGTTAGTAAAACCCTATAAACCAATCACTACCAAATAATACTGTTTAAAAGACAGATCAGATCGCTATTTTTAGAGATTTTATTTAGAAAAGAAAACACAACTATCAGAGATTTTTCGAAGATGCAAACAATTTGCAGTTATTTCATTATTTTCAAAATATTTTTTTTTTTAATCAATTAAAATTATTATTGTGCAAGGTACAAAATAACTTTCTAAAAACGTACATTTTATAATCACTATGTTGTAAAAATGCATTCATTCTCTTTTGACTTTGTCCTTAACAGGGTGGACATATTTTATGATTTGCTCATACTTTGTCTGCTTGCAGTAAATTCATAAAAGTGTGGGAGCTTGGACCAACATGCATTTACAACAACCAAGGTCAACTTGATACAAGGGATATGAAACTGAGTGGAAAATTGTAACTTTTCTGGAGTGCAATCATGATGCCTCAAAGGCACTTTTTGGTGATATTGACCCATACCCTCCTGGCTCTTCACTCCAGCTCTCTGCCAGATTGTTCAGATAAGCCTTGTGGTCAGTTTCTTTTGTAAGCATTTTGTTTGTTGTTGCTGTTTTGTTGGTATAGCTATATTTTGTTGACTGTTTTTTAGGCATAGAAGTTAATTTGTAAATTGTATTGTTTTGCATTTTTGGGGTGAAAAAAGCCCTATTTTCAATATAATTCCTGGCTTTCTTTTTGCCTCACTGTTTGGTCCTTGACAACTGGTGGCAGCAGTGAGATCATCCAGTGAAGGAAACAGGATTTTTCTTTATTTTTCTTTTTGACATTTCTCCCAAAGAGAAAAAATGCATCAAGGAGGAAAAAGTGGGAGAAAACCCGGAGGACCAGGTTCCATTGCACAGGAAAGGCTGACCAGTGAAGAGGAGGAAAATGGCGCTCCTTGAGTAGTAGAAAGCACTGAGGGCGAAGGTAAAGAGCCAACCCTGACAGACGTGGTGGCCATTCTTCCCGCTCACATGGGGCAGCGGGCGCTGTAAGACAAGAACAGCGTTTTAAAGCACTTCAACATCAGTTTCTGAAGATGTTCTGGCCCAAACATCTCCAGTGTCGGATCTTCTGCCAGCAGTCTCTGAAACTTTAGATCTGGAGGTTCAGTCATCCACTATGCAGGCCCAAGCTGAGCCTCTGACTATCAATTCAAGCATGGCCTCTACAGGTGTCAGTTTTGCGCACACCTTGAGTCCAGACTGGAAAAACTATCTGATAATGATGACACTGAACATTTTCTTTTCACATTTGAGTGCATTGCTGTAGCATACTGGTGGCAGAAAACAGACTGGGATCGGTGGCTGCCACATCTCCTTTTTGCATATAGGGAGGTCCCCCAAGCCTCAACTGGCTTCTCTTCTAATGAACTTCTGTATGGACATGAAGTACGAGGGCCTCTCTCACTGCTGAGAGAGATTTGGGAGGGAGGCAGGGGGAGGGAGGAATCTTTTTGAAGTCTCAATGATCCTCAGGGACAGCATCAGGTCAATCTCTTTTCTTAGTGATGTCAGCAGACATTCAGGAATCCTGGAAGTAAGTCGTCTCATGGAAGCACCTTCTCTAACAACAGTACCATGTTCCACAATATTTGTCCTCCCAGGATTTTCCTGGAATATTTCTGAATTGCAGATTTCTGGTGCTGCTTGTCTTCAGAGAGGTGGCTGAGGTTGTGGTCCACTGGAGCACCCACTGAAGGCAAGTATTGCTTATCCACTTCCTCTTCCTCACCTCTGATAAGCACCTCTGTTTTTCATCGACTCCTTCGGGAGATTTATATGCAGTATCGGGCTTGACCGTGGCTCCTCTGGGGTTGACATCTGATATGTGGTGGACCCAAGTTTCTTCAAGATTTCAAACGGCTCTTGCCATTTTGCAGGAGCTTGTAGTTATCACTGGGGAGGAGCACTAGCACTTCATGTCCAGGAATAACATTGTTTCCTTTGTTGCCCAATCATACATGGTGGAGGCCCAGCAACAGCAGAAGTCCTGGTACAATCAGTCTGCCCAGCAGAGATCCTTCAGTCCTTCTTTTCTTTTCGCGCCCTCATCTCCAGAGTGGTGAGGCCTGATAAAATCCTTACATCAGAAGAACAACTGCTTGTAGTCAATTAACAGACCAAACTGTTTTGTTATCTTTGGGTGCCATTTGTTATAGGCTCACCTTCACAACTGCACTCAAGGAGGCAAAAATTGAGAGTACAGCTGAGAGATATATGAAGTGCAGGTGCCATGACTTCTTGGTAGAAGCATGCAAAGAAGTGCAACAGAGACTTCCAGCTTACATCCAGATATGGAAATCTATGACTGAGTTAGGCCCAACTGTCATTCTGTCACAAACAAAACAACAGTTTAGGTCACTGTCACTTCTGAAACTTCACTCCGGCTATCTTGCAGCTCTTGATACCTAGTATCAGGCTGTTTAATACCATCCATGGACAAACAGGACACCCAGACAGAGGCATTTTGGGTTGAAGTGCTCAATTACAAAGACAACAGTAGAGACCAGGCTTTCAAAGAACTTGCCCTCTTTGCTCTGTCATTGCTTGCAATGCCTTTAAGCAATGCTGATGCATAATGAGTATTTTGACAAATGAACCTGGTGAAGTCCAAACTGAAGAACAGAATGGGACAGGACACACTCAGCAGCATACTCCACATAAAGCATGGACTGAGAAGACAATGTATATGCTGCAAAGACTCCATCCCAAGCAAGGAGATGATCCAGTGCTTTAACAGGCTCATGTACTGTGTGGGAGGAACATGGGGAGCAGAGAGACAGATGCAAATGAAGACAGTGATGATGGATTGTAGTTAAGGTAAACACTGTTCTTATGTCTTTTTTTTATTTGTGCCAGACTTAATGCCAATGTTTGGGTGTGTGATGTCTGTGTTACAAAGGAACAGACCTGATGGTGAAGCAAGGAGGAAAAGGACAGGAGAAAGTTTTTTTTTTATGTTTTGGGTTTTACACTAGACCTGTTTGAGATGGCTCAGAGTTTAAAAACTTAGGTTTTTCAAAGTTTACTGTCAGTTCACTGTAGCTAATGCATAATGCATATGTCTTATTTGAACCGGTTTAAAAATCGAAGTTATTAAAAGTTTTATGTTGACTGTTTACTGTCAATGTAATGCACAAAAAACTAAATGTATTATACTTCTATCAAGAGGCCTGTCATTTACATGATGTGGCGGTTCAGCTGCTAGGCTTCTCTTGGGCTTGTTTCCATACAGCTGGTTGCTTGTTTCTATCGCGAGATCTGGCAACACTGCCAAGATTTTGTCTGCCCCCTGGTACCAGGTTTTTGCACGCCATTGGAGCTCATAATAAAAACCAAAACAAAACAAAACAAAAAAACCCCCACAATGATAGAAAGTCCTGCTTCAGAGTCCAAAAATAGACAACTACTGACCAACCGTGATCAGTCTTCACCACCTCGGTACGTCACAACCGTCCTGTACTCTTTCCCTCTCCACTTTGCGGGCACCACCTCTCAGTCCTCCAGTCGGTAGCTTGTTCTTTCAACTGTAAGCTTCCTCTGTCCTCATTCAGTGTTGTCGTCCTTCATCCCACTGCACTCTCCAAGGTTGTGTCCAAAATCACCCACTATACCCTATATAGTACACTATATAGGGTGTTTGCCATTTTGTAGTGCTGTCCAAGTGTTAAGTTATAAATGCCACACCCTATATAGCGCACTCAAAATATCTCACAATGCATCGTGAAAAGTAGTGTACAGGCGATGGTCACTAACCAGCAACATGTACCTTCATGCATTGCGTGAAATTAAATGGAAAGATGAATGAGAGAACAAAAACATGTCATTAAAATTTAAGTAATGTCCCGTTTATGTTTTGTTAAATTTTATTTCACCCGTTTCTTAGCTACACAATAAACTGTGAATTTGATGTGTTTGTACTATGCTGCTATGGCACAAGTCGCAGTGAGTGAGCGATGTAATTAATAGCTCGAGTAGTGTCTGAAATGTTACTTTGCCGAGGTGCCCCTACATAGTTCACCATATAGTGGTCCCTATATAGTCAGTCAGGAGTGAGTAGATGATTTCGGACACAAGCCTACTTTTTTCTTCACTCTCTTGATCTCGTCCCTACATCAATTCCCTTGGTCCCCATGTCCATCACAACGGCTAAACAAATCACAACGTGACAACAAGGTGGTGGCATTCAAGGTCAACACAAAACATAGGAATTTAGACATTACACGAAAACAGAAAAGAGACAGAAGCAAATATGCATATTAACAAATTAAATGACAAACAAAAATTAACCAAAAAAAAAAAACAGGGCTCTACACAAACATGACATTAAGTCCAACAGAGACATTTTAATGGGTCTTTAAAAATGTTCA